AGAGAGAGAGAGAGAGAGAGAGAGAGAGAGAGAGAGAGAGAGAGAGAGAGAGAGAGAGAGAGGCCGATTCACAAAGGGATTTGGGTTGTTGTTGTTCTGTAATGGCTGAATTTGAACATGACATGGTTTTAAAGTTTTAAGCAAACGATTGCAAGAGTATGAAGGTTTGGATCCCTGTTTAAAGTGTCTGTACTTATGTTTCCTTAGCAGTCCCTTCTAGCCATGGTCTGCAAGTTGAGAATGCAGGCCTGTAAATCTGCAACTTCTCTGCGGCCCAGCTGGTTGCCTAGTCAAAAAGTGAATATTCAATATATTTCATTCAAAAAATAATAATGAAAAATTATCAATAAGGAAGTTCAACAAGTCATGATTGTGACATATAATCCATAATAACGTCCATAATAATCTAAAAAAATAATAATAATAAAAAAAAAGAACGAAGAAAATGATGATCAATTCCTGTTTTTTCTCTGCTTACCGGGGACAAAGTAACAGGACAAGAATATAGAGGGGGTTGTGTTGTCTTCAAAATGAAAATAGAAAAATAGAAAAGAGAGAGAGGATGACAGACAGAAGGGTGATGCTAGGGTGTCTCGTTGATGCGTTGGTTTGGCATTTGCTCACTGTGTCCTCCACTAGAGTAAACCCTCACATAATCTACTACTCTTTTTTCGTCTGCGTGAATGTGAATGTGCTTTCAATTTATTTATTTTTTTCCTCTTTTGTTCTTTCTCTCTCTACAGGGGTGAACAAGGTTGGGTCAGGATGCAAAGAGGTGTGAACACAGTTGGAATTGAGAAGGGTGGATGTGTTTGGGCCGTACCCAAAATCACCTGGTGATCCGGAGAGTGCGCCACTTGTTTGAACGGCCCCGTAGCCGTTCCCAAAGACGGCAAACAGACGATACAGTTGGTCTTTCTCAGATCCTGAGCCTGAGTGAGTGAGGCAAGCCTGAGAGAGTGAACGGTGGAACAGACATCAAGGACAGCACAGTCCTTGAGTATGCAGAAGTTGAAAGTCCAAACTTCAAAGGTATTTGCAAAGAGTCAAAGACTGTTTCCGTACGTCTGACGGAGAGTTGATGATGCATCGAGGAGCAAGGGCAGTGGACAGCAGAGAAGAGCCAAAGAAGATTGGAGGTGTAGTTGAGGCAGGCGCAAAAGCAGATGTGTTATGAGAGGAGGGTGCAAACGAAGAGAAGAGGCGGAACAGAGATCCAGGACAGCACACTGTGTGTGTGTGTCCAAAGTCAGTTGCAAATGCCTTTTTCCGTACGTCTAACGGAGAGACGATCTATCGAGGAGCAAGGCAGTGGACAGCAGAGAAGAGCTTAAGAAGATTGGAGGTGTCGTAGAGGCGGGCGCAAAAGCAGAGGTGGTGATGAGGAGGGTGCAAACGAAGAGAATGGGCGGAACAGACATCACGGACAGCATACTCTCTGTGTGTTCACAGTTAGTTGCAAATGCCTTTTGCGTACGTCTAATGGAGCGACGATACATCAAGGAGCAAGGCAGTGCACAGCAGAGAAAGAGCCAAAGAAGGTCTGAGGTGTTGTGGAGGCGGCGGGCGCAAAAGCGGCACTTTTGACGAGAAGGGTGCAAAAGAAGAGAAGAGCGAAGTGGAGCAGAGCAGAGAAAATAGAGAATTGAAGAAGAATAGAGAAGAGAAGAAGCGAGAAGAACAGAGAAGGCTCTAGAAACTAGCCTGCTTAAGGTCAGATATGCATGGGCCTTCTTGACATGACTGACTGACTGCTCACTGAAGACTACTGCTCATTCAGCCCCTTGGTTCTCTAACGTTCATCATAGACAGAGTAAGCTTTTGCAGAACAGCAGCCTATGGCGTGTGCGACACGCGTTGGCAGCAGGCCAGGCACCGTGTGATCAGGCCTTGCAGCTTTCGTTTCGCCCTAACGGGGGGGACGCTTCTGGCCTTTGGAAAATGGCCTCCTCCTGGGGTGAGGTCCCCCTAGCAAAGAGGGTTGGGTTTAACATTGCGTCTCCTTACTCAAAAACTTTGGCACACAATACTCCTCACTCAGAAGAAGGAGACTCATGCTTGCCCGTCCAGTGTCAAGGATCTATCGTGTTGCCATCCCCTTTTACCCACCTGTAGACTGGGGTGTAGAGTACTCGTCTGCACAGTCGGCAGGCCAACAGATTCCATCCTTCCTACGCAAGCCTTGGGGTACTGATTTCTCCCCTCCGCTCTCCACTCCACCACTAAACTCTTCTTCTTCTTGAACTCCTCCTCCTCCTCCTCCTCCTTCTTCTTCTTCTTCTTCTTCTTCTTCTTCTTCTTCTTCTTCTTCTTCTTCTTCGTCGTCGTCGTCGTCGTCGTCATCGTCGTTGTCGTCGTCGTCGCCGTGGTGGTGGTCGTCGTCGTCGTCGTCGTTGTCATCGTCGCCGCCATCATCGTCGTCGTTGTCGTCATCGTCCCCGTCGTTGTGATATGCGAAATCGACGTAGTTGTTGATCATATATGCGCAGGCCATTTAGATATACGTTCGTTGCATCGCGTCTCCCTGGCATTATAGATTGGACGTTCTGTACTGGATTCCAGTGTTATCTTCTCTTGAATGTTATGCCCTTTGCAGAAATGAGCCGCACTGGAACCCACCTACTCCTCCACTGGCCGCCAGTGAGAGAGGAACACCGTAGAAACAATCCAATCCTTCTTTAGTTTCTCAGAGAATCACATGCATGCTGCAAACTGTGTGTACTACATCCTCCGTACCGTAGGAAGCTCGTCTTCGCTTCGTCATATCGATTTCACAACAAGCCGCCCCTGTGCATGTTCACACTTTTTTTCCTTTTTTCTTTTTTTTTTCTGTTGTTGTTGTTTTTCTTCCCCCCCCGCCTGAGCAAGCCACCCCGTGTGCCGCGGTTTGGATATGAAAATTGGCTGGTGCGCTTGGTCTTCGTAATTATTTCTAGACGACAGACAGTACTTCTCAGCAAGTACCTCTGAAACTGCCGGCGGCGAGTACCTCTCTGCAAGTACCTCGAAGTTGGGCACATAAATCTTAACGAGTACTTCTTCCGGTTCGCCGCGTACTTGGTACAAGTTCTGCGCAAACACTTCTTCCGCAAATACTTCTTCCGGTTTGCCGCATGACGAGTTGTGCTCGATACATGACAGAGAGCCATGGATGTGGCATTTCGCACTGACGATTTGAGGTGGTGCTGGTAGTGGCAGTGATGGGGATCGGGGTGGTAATGGCGATAGTGGTAGTGATAGTAGTGTTGGTGGTGGCGATGATGGTGGTGGGGGCGGGGGGAGGTGGGCGGGGGGGGGGAGGGATTAGATCCTCTCTTCTTACATTTTCAAGACACACTGGCGGTGATACGTTGGCCTTTGGTGCGAAGAAAAAGCAAAGGAGTCCGGTATGCAGAAAATCAGAAGTTTGGTTTGGTTGGTAGCTCGCATCTCATTAGTTTATTAAACTTTTATTTATGCTATTTTATTTTATTATTAAACTTTAATTTGGAATCATGGTTGAGAAGAATCGAAACAGTTCGAACTGAAACAAGTGCAGTTGGTTGCTTGGGGTTTCTTTTTTTTCTTTTCTTTTTTCTTGTTTTTTTTTTTTTTTTAAATTATGCCTATATAATATACATTATCGATTGCAAAATCAGGCCGGGAATCCCTCCAGATCTCAACCAGCTGTACTGGGGCCATTACCCAGCTTTGGCTTGACTGGAAAGAAAACCGGGTCCAGCATCCCCTTGAGCATAATAATTCTTAAAAAAGAGGAAAACTGGACTAAGAAAGAATCAATTTCTACGTAGAAAAAAAGGGAAGGCGTAATCGGGCTGAAAGAAACGAGCAGTCCTTAGTTTTTTTTTTTTTTTTTTTTTTTTTTGAATTGTACTAGTAATTTAGTGCCAGAGGAGGACTTTGACTTTGGTTGCTGCTTTATGAATGCCTCGTGATAAATATTAAATACAAAATTGTGTATGTAGCATTCGGGAAAATTAGGAATACGACGCATGAATCGATCGTAAACACAGCACAGAGAAAAGCTGAAGCAGTCATAAAAATGATAAAACTTGATAAAAGTGACGAATAGTAGAATACAACACACTAATGAGTAGCTAAGCACAGCAACAAAGAATAGCTAACACACGAAAAGCTGAAGCAGTCATAAAAGTGACGAATAGATCCCGGTCCACGAATAGCTAACACACAGCAACTCCTCTGGACACGGCACAGAGGAGTAGTTGAATAGTGAACACCATGGGGTTGTTTACCGGACGTGCAGATCCCGATCCAAACAGTCCGGGTCTGGATGTCCGGTTTGGAGGGGTCCGGTTGGACCCCATTCCGAAGAAATTCCGAACTTTTTTTTGGGGGGAGTCACGAGGCGAGTTTCCCGTCCCTGGGGGACCCCCAAAAGTTGTTGCCGCAGTTCGTTGTGGACCGTCGGGCGAACCGGACCGGCCCTGAAGGGCCTGAACTTGCCAAAGTCCAGTGGGCAGTACGACGGCGGTGGTTCGAGGTGTTTACTGCCCGCCGGCGGCGGGAGGAGGCCATTTTCAAATCTTTGTCCCTCCTGCAGCAGTGGTCCGCCCTGTGTAGCAGCGCTCTCCGACATTTGCCACCCCCTCCAGCCATGCCATCGCCAGCTTCAGCCCCTCCATCGCCAGCTTCAGCCCCTCCATCGCCCAGGAGATTGGCGTTGAGCAGCCGCGGAGATCTTCGCCGGCACCCGCTCAAGCCCTGCCATCGGTGCCAGCGCCCGCTCAAGCCCTCCCATCGAGATCGCAGTGCGTGTGCGCGTCTGCACGTGTGCATGCGCGCGTGTGTGTGTGTGTGTGTGTGTGTGTGTGTGTGTGTGTGTGTGTGTGTGTGTGTGTGTGTGTGTTTTATGTGTGCAGCAACACCACCTGCGAAAGTTTGCAGCAACAGCAGCTGCAACAACTGCAGCAGTCCGGCCCTAATGAATAATAATAATAATAATAATAATAAAATTAATAATAAGTTAAAAAACTCAGACAAGTTTCACAAACAAAGAAAAAAAGAAAAAAAAGAAGAAAAGTTGGATTCGACACACGCGCTACTAACAATTTAGTAACAAATACCTACATACGAATGAGCATCGTTAAGAGAACAGGCGATATGAAGATCAGAAATGAAATGAACGGGAGTATGAAGATGAAGGACGGACACAAAGACTAAGAAATATAAGCTGAAGATCTGAAGTGAAATGAACAGGACTACGTAGTATGAAGGCCTGACGAGAAAAATTGCACAGGAGCATACCTTCCCTTTGACTTTGCCTCCCGAAATAACGTAGTCTGCACACGGCATTCATGCGTCCTATTCCTTAATTTTCCTGAATGGGCGCACAGGAGCAAGTGGACTGTGGAGACTTCTTGGAGACTTCATGTGTCGCATTGCTAATTTTCCCGAATGGGAGGACTCTCTACCTGACTTGCTTACAAACACACCATTGACTCCTTTCTCCCATTTGGGCACACGGGGATGTGGGCAGCTGCCGCTCAACCACAATCAACGTGGGCAGCTTTGTGTGTAAGAGGCACAGTAAAAGGGGAGCTGCAAGAACAAATGGACGGGGTACGTACCCCAAGGACAACCAAAAAACTGTCTAATCTAATTAATAATTAATTATAAAATTGCTTTAATATGTTGGACTGTGACTGTCTTATCTCAAATGCTCTCTCGTTGTCTGGAATAGGACACAAAGACTGCTTTGATTCTGAATCTAGTCATCCGAGTCTGGGACTCTGGGTGGAATTGGGGCTGTTGTGGGGAAAATCTATAACACACACACTGCTGCAGTTGCATCTGCAGCTA